TAGATAGGAATACATTTGATTATTTGCCCATCAATTATCACTAAAATGTTCCTGTCTTACGCCTATAGTCATAGAGTTTGGTGGTTTTCGAAGAACTTCTTCTATCAAGGAACCCTTTTGAAGAAATACTGATACTCTACAACAGGAATTAATTTGTAATTTACTAGACTTATTAGTCTTACGTTCCAATCGGAGTTAGGAAAATATTATATATGCGTACTATACAACGTTTATAAGGATAACATATCTTGTTTGCGCAAAGATTCAGTAATTTTTAGCTCCTACTCCAAGACTTTTTATTTCCTGTCTCAATAGAGTAGGACCGGGTAGATGGCTAATCCAAGGTTCGCACTTGGAGTACATACGAGTATAGTACTGTCCTTTGTGAATGCTCTCAATAACAATAAATAAATGAAGCAATTTTTGAGAAAACTCTATTAGACTTCAAAAATAATTTGAAGCATTATTACATAAACAAACCCCGTCACCGAATTCAAGGGAATTTTTGTTTTCAAAAGTATGTGGACGGATTCCTTGGCCAGTATAGAACAAATCTTGCAATAATGTCTCTATTGGAAGATTTGATGCACTATTCTAAGAGTTTCGGCTGCAAGTCGTACAAACTGAACATTTTCAAGACAACACAAACTTTGAAAGAACATTAAACGAACCAGGAAAAAATATTTATTAACCGAAAAACAAGTGATGTGTATAATACCTTACATTCTTCTTTGATTCGGACGGACAAAAACTATATTTTTAGATATTGCATTCCAAATCTTTATTATCGCCTTAAAAATAGCCAGTGAGCCAATACAAGCATGCCAACGCTTAATCCAAATGTCCTTACACTAGTAATAAGCATCATATGGGATGACCTCAGTGCTTTCAGCAAAGTTTGTTTTTTTGTTTCAATTTTGCCGTCGTAATGAAAGTAGTGGAGGGTCTTCAGTTACATTTTCAAGCACTACTATTTCTCTGATGTTAACATGACGATTTTCAAGCTTCGTTTATTTCGTTTTTCGATGTTACCGTCATTAGCACAGATAGATGAACGACTATTGAAGCAAGTTTTCAATGACTTCACGATCTTCACTGAACGTTTTATGCCACTAAAATACTTGTGTTCGAAATGAAATGACCTTCCAAAATAGAGGAGAAAGAAAGAGGTCCCGCATTTACTATAGAAAGATTCCATACACTGGATACAAGTACAAATAGCTATGATAATCAAATATAAATAGGTACTTATCTCGGTGGAATTTATTGTATTGATACCTATTTGCTTCTTTTAATTAATTGTTTCCATTTCTTAATTAGTGTTAATACTTCACATTTTGCTGTAGAGTCAAGACACTTTACCAAAACATCCTGTTTAAATATCGCTTTTGTTGGGATATTAAACATATTGTCATCCATCGCCCCAATTTTCGAATTTCTTTCAAGCGCTTTCAAATTATTGGTGAATTGTTACTGATTTGCACCCAAGGTATAAAGAAGAAAAGGTGCCGATCAGCTGTCAAACCAAATTTTCTGTTCGTGTGACGTAGTTTGGAAGTGAGACCTGAGTTAGGGATTCTAAAGAGCAAGACCAAGTAGTTCGTTTTAGTTTTCACAAAATCGAATTTACAAAGAGCTCCATAATCCCCATATCTAATACAACTCCATAGTACATTTCTGCGGCAGGTGTATATATGTATGTACATAGATAAGCGAGCATATGCTAGTACTACTTTGAATATTGCTTATATACATCCTCATGTATGTATGTTGATACAAACACACCTATTCTTAATCTTACTCTGCAGTTATTTAGCGAAGAACGAAATTACGTGTACATAAAGGTTCGTTTAAATATCCAATTTGCTGACATGCAATAAATTTTGCAATAAAACAACAACAACACATTTTCATAAAATGTTTTTGAGGTCAACGATAATGCAACGGAAAACAGAAGGGCATTGCGCTTCCATGGAAGTACTGAAGAAGGAAGAACCGACTTCACTCACTAAATACATAGGCGCCTTCACTGCGCCGTTGAAGAAGCTAAGGAGACAGCAAGCCTAGAAGGTGCAAACAAAACGTGAACAAGTTAAGTGTGCTGACGAGGCACAAAGCAAGTGTTACCTGTGTAAGTGTGTAAGTAAGCAAGCAAATAGTACCAAAATACGTGTGAGTACGCATGTAAATATGCTTATGCTATGGCATTTTGCTAGGTTGCCAATGGACACGTAAAGGCCAATAGAAGAGCGTTCAGCTGCTTGGCTTTGCAATAATAGCATGAAATTACAAAATATATATTTTTATAGTTATGCGCTTTTACAGAACAAACAATAAAAACCATCATACACCACAAACTGTGCAACAACTAAAGCTGTAATCACAGAAAGACAGCGGCGCAGACAACTATAATTGGAACTCAAAATGTTCTTATAATTATAAATTGACAAAATTTAGTGGCACACGTGAAATATTAAATAAAAATAGAGGTAGTTTGTATGACAACTTTATGCTATAGTGGTCCAGTTCAGACAATTGAGCAGCTTTTTGGACAAGAGAGGATGTGTGAAAAATTTCAGAACGATATTTCAAAAGCTGGGGGACTAGATCGCTTATTTAGAGACGAGTAGGCGAACAGACATACATACGTACTTGTGTATACTATATGTATATGATATGTATACTATACATACATATATTTTAGAGTCTCCGATATTTCCCTTGGGAGGTTGCAAATTCCTTGACAAACTAAATAAACCCTGTTCAGGGGATAAAAAGAAAATCAATATATTCCTATTTTTTTTTTTTTTTTATTTTTATACATATGCACACATCTTTATTCAAGTGTCGGTGTGTTAAAATTTTGCATAAATATGAGTATGTAAGATTTTCTTGAAGAGATTCTTTTAGCTTTATATGACCGTTCCTCTATGATGTTGATGTTAACGTAATATGGTAGTCCGTAGGTTCAGAATATTCTGCAATGCAGGCGGAGTGGTTAAGTACCGTGTTATTGGCGTGTTAGCCTTTCTCAAGAGGAACAGACTAGCCTACACAAGATGTATAGTAAAAGGAATGGGATAGAAAACACAAAAAGAATTATGAAAAGTGGCAAAATGTACTTTGTTTTTGTGAGAAGCAGTTGCATGACTCATCAATGTTGTAATGTTTAACAACGGCTCCACTCCAAGGCTACAAAAAATCATTGATTGATAAAACAGGTCGAAACGAAAATAAAGAAGAAGCTGAATATGAAATATACATATTTTTTTAATTTTACTTTTTTTACTATAATCCGCTAATATTCTATCTAAAAAACTTGATCCTCCGTTAACATAACGAACTATAATAGTCTAAAATCATAACTTGAGGGCACTATGGCATGCTCTTAACAGATTTGGGGTTGGTGTTTTTGAACACCTTTTGACTTTGATATTTCAAGTATGATCAAAAAATATTTCCACCTGATTCTATTGAGATAACTCACGCATGAAATTATATCTGGATAAGGAGAGAGCATGGAACCGATTTTAGTAATTTGTTGATTTAAAAAATTATTTTTAAAGTATTATAGTTATGTAGCACTAGCGGCTTCGCTACGTACAAAATTAAGCAATAGAAGAATTTTATTTTAACATAAAATTCATTTATTCGAAAAAAAATGCTTTATTAATTGCTAGGTACCTTAAAACTTAATTGTAATCGTTGGAATAAAAATGGCATAACAGTTGGAATCTTATGGATACGCGATATCGTAATACTTCTCCTTTTGATTTAGCAGTTAAGATCGCAGCTTCAATAAATTTGGCAACAACTTTTTCACTGCTAACAGCAACAGGTTCCCAGAGTATAATAATTTTTGCAGAATAAAAATATGTCATTTGAAATGTCGAATTACAATTGTTGAACATGACTGAAAAAAATTATTGAATGCAATCTCACTTTGTCAATCCAATGTATGAGCGCACACTATCATCAATCTGACTGTTGTAATTAAAAGTAGTACGCATTATTTGAGCTAAAATTGGACGACGCATTCGTGATCGCCGTGCAGGATTCAGTACAAGTACCGGGTCAACAGCTTTATTTCGTGCCGTTCGAAAGATTTGGTTTGGATAGGTGAGCMCGTTCTTAAGTTATAATTTGCTTTTCGGGAAAAATGTTTTGCACTTAGTTTTGGGGGAGCACGCCGCTTAATGGACAGGCGTGTATTGAACTCATATTTGTCATTGAAATTTCAATACTTTTATCGTTTAGTGTATATACACACATATGAATGCAAATGTGTGTGTGTATGTAAATACCAGTGCATTACTCTGCGCATTCCTGTGTATCTTTGGACATGTGTTGGTATAATGAACACAAGTACGACTATTTACAAAGTGCCGCTCTATCGGCGGTCAATTTGATGTGGCAAGAAGTATGAAAAACTCTTAACCGCAAATAAGAAATTGAGAAGCATGCGTGCGGCCGGGGTCAGCCGTGTGTTCGGTAGAGATCAATCAAAGATCGTACGAATATCATTATATGTAAGTTCCCAACGGTGGTAATCTTGTTAAGGAAAGGGTTAACAATGTACAGTAAGAACAAAAAGTGATTACTCGCCTATGCCCATAGGAACCCATCAAGTTTACATACTTATGTGTGCGAGTATATGTTTATGGCTACTCCATCAGATAGTATCCGATTTCCTTTCACTGTACACAGCTTGCGCTTGACTTGCTTCGGCAAAGCGTGCTTGTGAGCCATTACTCCACAATCGGTCGGGCAACCGCCTGTGTGGATCGTTTCGCACACGTGCAAATTGACACAGGACACACTGATTTATTTGTAACCAGCTGCCATCTGCTTAGTGGTTTTCAGTGAAATGCTACACTTTCCGCTAATGAGTTTTAATATTCTCCGATCTACAACAACAACGCATGTGTAATTACTTATGTATGTGCGCATGAAGAAAACGCATTAATAGCTTATAGTATTTAAATGAATATTGCACTCACCTATTTTTGGCAGCAGCAGCTCGATCCCTCTGCCTCCGGTTTTTGAACCAGTTCCCCACTTGAGTTGGATTGAGGCCGGTTGCTTTCGCTAATTCACGCTTTTTTGTCGGATTCGGATACGGATCCTGAAGGTACCACTCACGCAGCAAACTTCGCGTTCGCTCCTTAAAGCAATGTGTCTTTTGTTCACCATCCCAGATCGTAGGTGGTAGAGGAAACTTCTTTCGCACTCGGTATTTATCCACAGGACCTAGACAAGAAACCACAAAAAAATTATTTATAGGGATAATACATTTTTGGAATTTTACTAACTTCCATTAGGCACCAAAAATTAAATTTTCTTATTTATTTTAGTTCGAATAATCTAAAACTGTTCCAACATCTGATACTGTTCATTCATTGTATGAGCATGCTCACAAAACATTGATGCTACAGAGCAAATATATTTGACATTTATCGATATTGGCATATAATCATCGATGAAGAAAATGTTTTGGTAATAATCTCGATTTTTTAAGACACTCTGAAATTATACTTTTTCACATAAAAGGACTTTTTTAGTAAGCCAACATTTTGTAAAAAATTTTTACTGGTCTTTCGATCATTTATAATTATAATAATTTACGAAATAATTGATCACTCATTGTTTGACAAAACTGAAAGACTTTGAACCTTATTAAGTTACTTAGATAGAGATTCAGATAGATTCATAAGGTACCTCACAAGCAATTAGTTAGTTAAAAATATTGACCGATATTTGCGATATTAAGTCCGATGGAAGTTCGCAAATCTTTCTATTAGGTTTATGGGGACTTAGGGAGTTATTAATCCGATTCAAACCATTTCTGACACACGGGATATTATTATCAGATAAGGATTCTCTCAGAAATTCTGTATAATTTCTCAGAGCCTTATTGGTATTCTCGATAAAATTTCCGTAATAGAAACCGGGGTACATATATTAGATACCTGACTGTGTGAACAGTTTTGGACCGATATAGCTAATTTTCGGTCATAAGCTGACATACTTAAAATGCAAATCGTCCAAATTTGACATCAGCTCCTATAGAGCCACCCCATACTTCTTGGGTGTACAATTTTATGTTTATGACGCATTTATTTATTGATTTTTTGTGCTTTTGGAAGTTTTTAACATAACCGTTATATCCATCTTAACAATATCGATAGGGGTGTTTAAGGGATTTGGTCTGAGCGAATTTGTTTATGAAAGCTTAAGTAGTTTAGGGCCCACATTTCCAAATTTTTTAGCCCAGTTTTACAGTTGCGGGCATATTCTTCTGGGTCCCCTTTATGTGATGAATGCCGGTTTTGAAAAATTAAATACCGAATACCAGCCGAAATACATATATAAAACGGTAAAATATGAAGGTGTAGATATCATGGTTTGGAAGTTCCTTTTTGGGCAAGGTGCTGGCCTCATTGTCAACATAGCATTGATTTTTAACCTGCTCTGACGTACTTTTTTGGCTTCGGCTCACTTTTGCCACGATATTCAGCTTAAACACATGATTCCTGGGACGTAAACATACATATGTATATCCAAGACTAATTCTCCGTAATGATACGTTTCATGACATTGTGGTAGTCGGAAAACAGTGTTGCACATACGTTAACGCGACGGTGTTTTTAAAAGAATTTATATAATTTGGAACCAATCGTGCCTTCACTTTTATTAGGTCCAAATGATCGTTTAAAATGGTTTTCATTGATCCTTCCGATAATCCAACATGACAGTAAGTACTAAGGAACCAAATAATTTATTTTATTGACGTGTTGTTCATCGGTTGATGTTGATGGCCGTTCTGGACGTGGTTCATCGTCAACACGTTCTCGGCCCTCTTTGAAGAATCAAAACCACTTACTCACGACAAACAATTATCACCGAAGGCCTTTTTAACATTCTCAATGTTTTCAACAGAAATTTGACTCCGCACACAAAATTTAAAGGAACTTCTTTGTTAAAACATTTCTCTCATCGTAATAATCGCCGAATGTACTTTATGTACTTCAGAAAGACAAGCATTCTCTACACACTAATGATTATTTTGATATGACATTTGACACAGATCTCACTGACAGTCTCCGAAATGCACAATTCCGATTTCTTTGGCGCCACGATCTGAAGGTAAAGGAAAGAKGAAGTCCTTCTGATAAAAAATTTATTGGGTTATACCGCAAACGTCTGATTTACGAGATATTCGATTTTAAAGTTCAAACATTTCCAAAAATCAAACATTTCCACAAGCTATTCCACTACTTTTTCTACCCTTTTCACATCAAATTTATTTTATTATACTGTAAATATTTAAACAAATTCACATTTTACACTTTTTACAAACATAATAAGAAATTTAAAAAATTACCCTTTACACTCGTAGTGGGCATCATTTATGTGCTAACAATTATGAGGAAATGGATCGCTGCTGTATGATATAAGACAATTCGCGGAAATTTCTCGTTTTCGCTAAAATTCCTTTTTTCATGTATATAGATATTTTCTTATTTAAATATAATAAACAAATAAGTAATATTTTATATAATATAATAATATTACGTAATAAAATAATAAAATGCTTAGGTTACACTGGCTCTTGGCTGAAAACAACGCAGAAAGGATTACTACGCGAAAGTACTTCAGTTATAGCTTGAAAAATGTTGGAAAGAATTTTTATATTTTTAAGGTCCATATACAGCTCTTAAATAATTACTCAAGAAAAAAATTCTTGACGTAGTCAAGTAATTATGACTGCTGGTTACGCATTGTGAATAATCCTTATTAGAAGAGTAAGAGAAAATAAACTTATGTGTGTAAGTACGTAAATATCTTCATAGTGATTTAAGGAATGTGATTGATGATTGATAAGTTTTATACAACATTTCAATATCTATATATTATATATAAAAGAAAGATATGTTAGTTACACCATTTATAACTCAAGAATGGCTGAACCGACTTGGTTGAAAATTGCTGGGGACATAGCTTAGAACCAGGGTAAGGATACCTTTCAACTCTTTATGTTAGTATCCAATACAACTCATAAATACAAAAATCATATTTTAAATCATAAACATTTGTTCAAAATTCATGTTTGTGGGAATCAATACAATATATGTATACGTACAATTTTAAACAGATTCTTCCTCAAAAATTATACAATTTCTAAGTATTTGGAATAGAAGAAAAGAACTGCAACCAAATAAGCAGTGAAAAAGATTATATATTATACCACGTGCATCCCAAAAGACTGATGTCAAACCCATTCCAGCCGACTTTTTCGTCTTTCTACGCCTGAGGACCGGTTCATGATGTGCAGTCCACTAGAATGGCCGTCGATTGGACTCCAGTGGGAAATGATGGAGCAATGTTTCTATCACCGATGCAAAAGTTCGGTTTTATTCCGATTAGAGAGCACTTAAACACTTCTCAGAATCAGTTATTCGTTGTTTTTGTTGGATTATGAACTTGCGAGGCATCTACTTTGCTCATTTCGACTGTTTCCAGTTTAGCAAATATCTTTTCAGCGGTGGATTTCTCTGAGCTCAAATTCAACAGTATTTTCCCCCAAAAGGCGATGTTTTATTAACAACCGAAATGCTTTATGATTCATTTTTTTGTAACTAACACAATTTACTTCACAAAAATTCTATATCTCTTTAACTAATAGTTATAATCCAACTAACAGCAATCATATAGATGGTAGTAGTAGTATTATCTATGTATTAGCCACAGTGAAGCGTGGACGGGTCCTCTAGTGAACTATATTTCATAATAATGATATTAAATAATCGTAGCATCTATTTATTGATTACTTTGATTTGCCTTCAAGAAACAATTGTTGATTTCATGTGTTTTCGCAAAACCAGGATTATTTCGCATTTTATTGAAAAAATGTATAAGTATTAAAAATTAGTGCTAGATTTCTTTAGAGTTGCTTACTAGCACAAGAAAATTTTCACACGAAACCGAACGTTTTTTTATGAAGTTTTTACATTGATATGTGGATTCTTTCGTAAAAAAAAAGTCGAGTCTTTAGATGAGCGTAATCGGACCACTGCCACTAGGGCCGGATTTAAATTTTTGCCGCCCTTGGGCACTGGAAAAAATGCCGCCCCGTCACTGAAATTTCACTCAAAATTATATATAATACTTCAGTATAATATAAAAAATATATGTTCTTGTTCTTAAAACTACAAATTTGCATTATAATAATTTTTTTCACAGGCAAACACGCCTGACTTTTTGAATTGCAAACTGGTCGATTAAATCTCCACAATCTCACAATCTACTATGCACTCATTGTAGAACGTAAGTAGTTTTTAGCTCTTTTCAAACAAGAAAACGATCGTTCTGCGCTACAGTTTGTTACAGTTAAAGTAATAAATATTCGATATGCAATTTCTACGTTCGGAAACTCTGTATAAAGGTCGTTTGCACGCAAAAGTTTCAGAATATGGCAAGCTGAATTTTGTTCCATCTTTTTTTCAGTCCAATAAGCATGAAAATTCATAAATTCGTCCTCCAATTCTGATCAGATCTGAAGAATAAACATTTTGTAAATGTTTAGCTCGGTTACGAATCTCTCTATTATAAAAACTGCCAAATTCAATAATAACTGAGAACTTTTCATGAATCTTTTCATATGCAACACATCTTCTTCGCAATTCAGAATCTAGATTATCAAGAATGACATTGAAAGTGTTGACTCTAAAGTGGTATCGACCTGACAGTTCTACATCTCCATACCGTGATTCGTCAGCAAGTAATTTTCTCTTTCTTTTTCGTCGTTTTATGTTATTTTATCTCTGAAATATTTAAAGCAGTTTTTTCTTAGATTTCGAATTCATTTCTCGTATCAGCAACAACTTAAAATCTATATTTATCGCTGCATCCTGAAGTTCGCTTCCATGACGAATGTTCTGAAGTTAAAGTAGAACATGCTGTCAAAATGTACTATTATTCTATTAACCTAATAATACCAATAAATAATAAATATACATTATACATATCGATAAATAAGTCATTTTTATACTTGGAAAAATATGTAACTTTAAAAGATTGTCGCAACAAACCTTCATAATCTAAATTCGTACAATCTCTACTACTAGATTTTGAATTTTGTATTACATACACAGGCCGATCGCCACGCGTCTATATGTAGCATGTATGTATATATGTACATATATATGCATATTTTGGCTTTAAGGAGTTCATCATGAAATAGTTCAATTTCTACGCACGTGCTTATGTACTTTGATATAAAATACATATGTATATAGAAAATATACATACATATGTATGTATATAAATTATATGCAGAGTCTTATGTATGCATAATTTTTCTCATTTAACACTGAAAATGATCAGTTCGGTTATTTTCCTGCCCCTGATGTTAAGTGGTGAAACACGCTTATCCAAAACAGTAAATAGCCCAAAATTGAAATATCCCTAAATTTTCTACATCGTGAACCTTCTCTATAAATATATATAATAAGTTCTCTGCTATTACTTTTTTAAAATTAATTCGATGCTTCCCATTTGACAGCTGTCAACTGACAGCTCACTTTTTTTGTGCTTTCCAAATTTTGCCGCACGAGAAAATTTGCCGCCTTGGGCACTAGCCCCGACTGCCCCTAGTGTAAATCCACTACTGACTGCCACGCTCACAAATCGCCATTAACCGAAAACATATAAAGTGCCATAACTAAAAACTAATTTAAGATATGAAGCTGTAATTTGGTACAGAGCGCCTCGGTAGCACCCGTGTATAAAAAATTTTGAAAATGGGGCGTGGTCACGCCTTCTAACAAGTTTAATGTACCTATCTCCTAAACCACTTAAGCTACAATAACCAATTTACTGAGTACAAATTTTATAAGAACTTTTACCAACAGTGGATGAAATCGCAGGTAACCCCGCTCAGTCCCCATATAACGCTATTGTAAAAAACTACTTAAAGCGCGACAAATCAATATCTAAATAGGCCAGAGACATTAAATTTTACCACCGAGATTGTATGAGAGATCTTTATGGGAGCCGGTTTGAAACGAACGAAGGGTGTGGCACCGTCCACTTTTTGGTGAAATCCTATATCTCGTCACCCGTCCAACCGATTTCATCAAAATTTAGTATGTGACATTCCTATGTCCCATTGTGAAAATGGACGAAATCGGACAACAACAATATCTACTTCCCTTGTAACACAATTTTAAATTCCTTTTGATTCCTTCAGTTGCTAGTCCATAAATCAAGAAGAAATTAATATAACGGGATAAAACTTTGCACGAATAATGTCTTTTGTATATGCCAACTTATGACGAAAAATTGTTTAAATCCAAAAAAACTGTTCAAGCCTCTAGATACCGAATATTTAGATCCCGGGACCTATAGTAGATTTTTGATTAAAAATGTCGGGCAATGTGTGATACAAGCATATACATATAACTAAAAGTAAGGGATAATCCTTAACTTATAATGGTGGACTTTAGGACCAATACTTTCCTTAGCCCCCATATACTTAATATTAAAGATTTTCAAACTTTAGGGTGACTTTGTACCGCATATATCACCCAATATGTGAGTTATCCCAATGAAAATAAAAGAGCGTGTTTTATTCATAACAGTGTATTTGTGTGCCTAAAATATATAAATTTAAAATAAAACTTGGTCTATCCCCTTTATGACTAATATCAAGATTTTCGAACATTTCCCTGACTTTGATTCTTGTGAGTTGCAAGAGTATAAAAAGTTTGGTTGCACCCGAACTTAGCCATTCGTTACTTGTTTGTTTTGTTTTTCTCTTTATTTTTGCACAGCTAAACTTTCAAAGCTGATGTATGTTAAGGGGCGACAAGAAATTTTCTCGCCTTTTGCGGTAACAAATGTAAGTATCTTTCGAAAATGTATAATTCTGTTAAATTTTTCGTAATATTAGTATTTTAATTGAAAGAAGCAGATATTTATTTCCTTAATAAATTGTCTCTGTGTATTTTACGTATTTGTATTCGTGTTGTTTCGCCCTGAAGTGTGTTCGTCGATCTTCCATAGAGTAAATGTTATAATATGTTCGAACCGACAGTGAAAACATGTTTTCGTGGGAAAAATTGGGTTTCGCACAAAAACTTGTGTTTTCATCCATGTAAAATCTGTCAAACGAAAACACAGTTTTCGCTGAAAACTACTTGAAAACTTACATTCCACTCATTATAATCGGTGCCTCTAGTTTATCGATGTTTGTGGAAGACATCTCTTGCCGGCCCTAAATTGTCACTTGATATTTGTTTAGATTACACATACAAATACAGCTGTCGCTTGATATTCTCATATGAGGGCGATTCTCTTGCTCTTGCAAAACCTTGCACCGTGCAGAAATTGCAGGATTTTCCCTTTGGTGCAACGGCATAACAACAAACACACGCAGAAAATTCATTGCAATGGCTGTAAAATATGTCAGACCAAAACCCATGTTTATTTTCCTGTCATCATATATCGCTAGATTCTGCAATGGGTGCTCTCTTGGCCTTGCATAATTCAGTATAGAATTTTAGCATTTTATGTCATCGTGCAATCTTGCAAGAGCAAGATAGACAAATGTGTTTTCAATGTCGGTCCGAACATAGTATTCGTAAAACTATATTCTAAGTAGTTTTCCCAAATTTCAAAGATTTTGTTTTTTAGCTGTTTTTAGTTTGCCGCAAATGGAAAAAACAAAGAATCTTTCTTCAGTTTAAAACTATGCTTGTGTTTGGTAGAAAAGTGGAGAACTAGTCATTTAAATACTGCAAGACGGACCCTCAAGTGGAAAAGTTGTTGACCATTTTAAGTAAATTAGAACTTCTATACTCTTCAGCATATTACCGAACAACTTCAACGCTATGAGGTTCGAAGCATTAACGATTAAATGACACATCATCCATTAATATATGTGACCTGGTCTACGGAAAGGGGGCTTAGGTGTCAAAAAATCAATTTTCACTTTTTAGTTGATTTCGATGGAAGATGAGCTGCTTTTTTTTTACCAGCTGTTTCCCAAAAAACTAGTTTTCGCACGTTAGCTCCCTTTTCGTAGACCAGGTCACATATAATTATAACTACGGTAGCTACATACCTAGTGATCGGCCGCGCAATTTTTCCGCTTCAATGTAGTGGGCTTCGAGCCACATTGCTTGTAATTTGCCATAAGAGGCTTTTGTAAATTTATGATTTTCTATTATTGCATAAAGCTCCCTGCAAAGAAAGGAAAATATCATTGATGGGCAATAAATTATAAAGAACATTCGTAATTAATAAGTAAAATATAATAATATTCTTAAGCATAAAAAATGTTATTTACAATTATTACATGTGATAACCATTTCACATGTCCCTCGCATCACTCAAACGAAGACATTGGGATTTGAGATCTGCTATGGCAGAATTAAACCTATTCGACCTTGAGGCAATGCCCGAGATTGCATTTTACCTTAACCAAAATGGAATTAGCGATATTCCTTCCGAGTAAAGCGCCTAATTTTGGGAGATTTATAGGTTGTAAATATTCAATCATTACATTTACATTTTATACTCCTAGTTTTGTAATCCAATCCAAATGGACAGTATAGTTGGGCAGTATAGTATTGAGGAATACAATAACTCTTGATATACATATGTATGTATAACAATATTTTGTATTTCGTCAGTCCATTTGACTCACTTTCAAGAAAAGTATCTATCAGAACCATAGATTAAAGCTAATAATTAACAAAAAAAAATGTTTTCGAATTTACATATTTTCGCTTGTGAAATTAAAAATTGTATTTATTAGTTAAACAATTTGCAGCACTGATCAGAAAATTGGATATATTTAACTTCTGCTACCTGGCACACAACAGGAGACCGAACGGTAAATATGTTGCAGCAAATATGCAAAATTTTAAAATTTGTCATGGCACGCTGAGAAGTCGGATAGATAGCTAAATAAAACACCTTTTGCCGACGAATTGAAATTGACACAGAAATTATCGGTCCAATAATTACTTGGCTTAAGTAAAACTAAGATTTTGCTAGCATTGGAAATAAAGCTCAGCACTTATTTAAGAAGCTTTTTGAAGTATGCAAACTCTGATGAGATATCTCTCATTGATCGATGCATTCTAAATATGGAGGAAAACATATTTACACTTTAGTAGATCTTAAGACAACACTTTAAGATCACTTCCCGTAAGAGTACAAGTTCCTTGAATTGATTACCGTCGGCTAACATTGGCAAGCTTCCATCAATTATGTTCAAAAGTCGACTGGCCAAATGTTCAAGGGGAATGACAAAATGATTTGATTTATTTTTGGAGCGAGTTGCTACATATAATACCCAGGCTAATATAATACCAAAGGTGGGTATTTGGCATTAATCCTTTAATCATATATACAAAAAAAATAGTATGACCCACCCTAAAACTCATACATACATACATACATATAAACATACGTTAGTATATAAGTACACATTCAAATTCGATATTTTATTGCCGCTGAAACAATTTTGGCGAATGTGGCAGACTCACCCCCTGCTAGGATGTCACTCTGCGGGAGATTGTCGCATTTAGCCCAAGTACTTTTGATGAGCTTTCAAGGAAGTTTGTCATAAGTCTGTTGTTGACACCTTCTTTTATCACCTATAATTTTAAATTGCTTTCGAATCATATTTAAAAATGAAGTGTACGTATGTATATTATTAAATTTGAAACTATTTGGTGCCGTAAGTCTACCATGTTGTGGGTATAGCCAGGTAATTAAAGGTACATTTAGGAGCAAGTTTTTCGAGTACATTTTGGTGTTGTTAAATATCGAATTTCATTATTATTTCTATTATTATTATCTCGATACGCCTTTGCAATTCAAAAGTAAGTAAATAGTCAGTTAAATATTTATATTTTTTTGTCACATTGTTACATAAATAAACAGTGAGGACAGGAAATAACATTTTTGCAGACCAGTGTTATCTGTTACTTTAGCCGTCTACGGTTGGTTTTTTCTCTAATCAGATAAGATTACAATATTTCAGTGTGGAATATTATTATTATACCCTGAACAGGGTGAGACATCAATCGGAAAATTTGCAAATATCCTTTTCCCTCCCAAAGAGCTGCTCATTTGTCGAAACCGCCGATAACGAAACACTACAGCATATAGCTGTTATACAAACTAAACGATCAGGATCAAATTCTTGTATGGACACTTTTTTATTTTTAAAGGCTATCCTAGCTTCAGTGCAGTCGAAGTTAATGTGGTCGTCAAATTTTAAAAATGACTGCATATTGACGGCAATAGTTTCCAGCATAATTATTAGGATAGCTGAGAGATATCGCCAGTGAATGCACCATTTCTTATGCATACCGAACTTCTCAAACATTCAAAGACAGATCGATACTTGGATACTTTCGAGACTTCATCGCCAAAGTTCTTATTCGCATTTTAATAGCTAAACTTCTACTGTAGCATGCAACGGTAAGCATAGCAGTGTTTTTCGGAAGCTCATTTATAGCAAGAGAAATATAATGACGCCGTAAGATAAACATTCTTACTGTTGCTTAGTACAGTGGCATTGATCAAAATCCATGTCAAATTAGCAACTATTGTCAATCTCGGCATAAAAACCTGCACATCACTTAGAATCAAGTGCTATCATAAATATAGCCACTACTGTGATATGTAGTATTTACAAGCAAATTGATTTGCGCTTAAAACAAATAAGGCACACAAGCAGCTTGAATGCCCCTCATTGCATATTCATGCACACACACACACACACACACACATGATTATGCAGGGGCAATTCATAGGAATGCTTAAGTAATTAGAGTAGTCCTGAAGTTAATTTCCATCGTATTGTTGTCGTATTATAATGGGGCAATATTCAATTATTTTAATTGTTGAACAATGAGTCCCAACTACTTCCGCCTCGTGAGTGACTCTCCTCATAAGCAAAGCACGTATGGATCTGTGTTTTGCGAATTGTGTGCTTCCAAAGCTGGAGCAAAAAGCGGTTAATGCTCGCAAAAGAATAACATTAGATCCGACCCATCCCGCAAACGCGGCGGCGACGGTTGTTCCATTGTTCGCCATGCGCCGAAATGGTTGTTTTTATTGTCAACGAGGAAAGCTGTGCAATGTTGTAGCAACGATTTTCGAGATTTCACTGTTCCAAGGCAATACTCTAAAGAATCTTAATTAGTAAATTAATAGCATTGTTTATTAATTTAAATCCATTATATTCTCATTACTGGCAAGTTCAGCAAAACACACGTTCATTTCGTTCTGATCTGCATATGTCGGGCTTGTTTTGTAGACTGCGAAGTGCCGCTGCCCTGCTGGTTCATATTCCGCCTTTTGCCTCTGGCTCCGCTTCTGCTGCGGGTATCAAGTGTCATCTCATCCATCTACAAAATGTTTAACTTACAGTCGAATTCCTCTCATTGTGGAACTTGAGTAGGGTTTGTAAAATTCAAAAAGACGGATATTTGGAAAACAATATGTTCGCGACTGCTACCAGCTTGGAAATTTATGCGGATATTTGCTTGCAGCATACACGTACAAATATACATATGCATAAGTAAAATATCTCCGCAAAAGCAGCGCTGAAAGTTTTTTAACTTAAAAAAAACTCAGAACCGGACACTCACCGTAGCAGTGTTTTTGTCCGGCTAAGCGGGCTGCCTATACTATATATGGGAGCGTGGCAAAACCTAGTACCCGAAGCTGGAACTCAGGACTATATTTCTATTGAACTAATAAATATAAGGCAATGTCAACCAGGAGTGAATGAATACCTATTATATCATTAGATTCCGTTGAACCACCGGCAACTTTGCTGTGGCCATTTTATTTTTTAAACAACTCGAAAAACGCTAAAAACTAATAAGAATTTCCAAAATCGCGTACAGAGTTTTCTTGACAGGTTATATGAAATCTTTCCCGTTGATCATAGATAATGGCCACTGTGTGCAGTCATTCGAACCTACTCATGTCCGGATATACGAACTTGTTTTTATGTGAAAAAAATAAGGAAACATCTGTCCAGTTATTGGAGATGTCCGCGTCGATTTAAATTTGCCAAATGAACGGAACAATTGCAAATGCAGGAAATATTCTACAGATCATTCCGCACAACTTTGTTAAGAAACTATTGGTCTGAAATCTGTTATGGGCTAGCGAGGCGCTTTCAAGGTTTATATAATTTGTTTCATTAGTTTTTGAGATATCTGAATGACATTCAATACATAGGGGCTCTTTGATATTGATTATTTATTGGAATCGCCATATAACTGTAACATGTTGTATCTCCCATACAACCGATTATTCAGATTTCTAATTCCTCGACTCGTCCCGATAAAGCTGAATTTTTTCAAAAAGAGTTCGATTGTGACCGAATTTAAAGCCTAAAACGCAAAGTATACCATCGATCAACCACTGTATTCATCAGATTTGGATCCGTGTATTTTTTGTTCTTCTTCCCCGAACTGAAGATACCGCTCTGTGGAACCCGTTTTCAATCAATCGAAGAGATAAAACAAAATTTGCTAAATCATCATTTATCGAAGGGATAAAACAAAATTTGCTAAAGGAGCTGAAGGCCATCATGAAAAGTGCTTATTAAAAAAGTCTTTCGAGGCCAGGAAAAAGCGTATTACATCTTTTAGGGATTACTTTGAAGGCAAAAAAATTAATAACAAAATAGTTAAATCTTTTGCATTTTATTTACAACTTCAGGTACTTTTTTTACACAAATTTTGCCTTTACAGAAAAATACTTGCTCCTTTAAAAGTGTAGAACGCAAGAGATTTAATATGCATTTTTTATATAATTGCAAAAATTACTTCATAGGGAGATGCCTTACTGCAAAGCACAAAATTTATGACAACTATAATATATCTAAAACATTTTCAGACACTAAACATATTAAGTTTTTATGCCCTCATCGAAAGACGCTTTTGATACTTAATTTGAATAGCTGGAATTTATGTATTTATTGAAATTTGTCTCACCTGAAATTTCCGACGTGATAAGCAACAACCGCTCGCGCCCTGAGTACGGCTTCACAATTCAATATTTCATGCATATTCGGCAAGGCCACCGGTAGACTCCAGAGGAAGCGCGCCAAACGCTCTATGTCCCCCGAGTCCTCCAGCGTTTTGCAGACAATTTCCACTTGTGCGGCGGAGAAGGCGAGCGTTGGCACAGCCAAGATCGGACTCGGTGCTATAATTTGGTGTGTGGGCGAGAATGTCTCTGAGGGAGGTTGCTTGCCCTCCGTCGGTCCAACGGCCATTTTATTCGTTGAATCCACTGTGAACAAATTCGCATACTATTCCAGGCCACGAATGTTTTGCAATTTTTAGCGGCGGTAAGTGTAACAAAAGCTATAACAATAACTACAAATCCGCTATGCTCTCGAACTTCTCACACCGATTTGAAGTTAAATATAAAATACACACATACATGTGTCAATTACAGCACACAAACTTTATAAATTTGCATTCAGTTCATTAAACACAATAAAAAATCAATTGGATCGATTGTGTCGATTTCCAGCTGATGAAAGGACACCACACTTCATTTCTCATGGACACTTTTAGCTGTGAATTTAAATAAGATTTCGAATATTTAGACAATCTCCCTTTGTTTAACTCAATTCACAACACATTTGGAACTCGCATAAAAATTCGTTTTTACATTTTAAATAATCTGAAATAATTTTCAACACTTTTGCTGTTCGATCGTACGAATTCACACCCAATTTCACAGTACTGCTCCGCCAGTTTGGCTTGTAGGCTGAAGCTATTATCTGAACCGTTTCGACGTGGCGTATGGCCTGCGAATTAATCCACGGCTAAGTGTAAGATCTCGCAGGCAATCGGAACCGGATAGGACATTGATGCTACCGCGGTTTATTCACTACACTCCGAATCGATCAGTGCTACTTTGGCGACGGGGTTATTGCGCGTCCACGCGTAGGTATGCTTTGCAAGTAGGCGAATGCCAATTAACTGCCACCGCTTCTGCGTTTGTGATAGCCACTGTCACTGGTGGTGCCGCTGCTACCGTTGTGTTGCTACCGATGCTGCCAATACGGCAGCTGCTCCCGTTGTTGCCGTAGCTGCTGCGGCGACGCCTGCGTGTAAATTATCGGACTCGTTTCACCAAACTCGTTTTGCGTTTCGTATCGACGGTGCTAGCATCGAGCAGCACTCGAATCGTTGTCGTTGTCGTTGTCGCAACCGTCAACAAACAAAATCAAATAATGGCCTGTAACTGAGCTCACTACCAAGCCGACAGCGACTACCCCGATGATGAAGCTGTTTGTATTTGTTGTGCTATTGGTGGTGGAGGCGCAGAGTGGCGGAAGCAACGGCTGCGTACAATGCTAATAACAACTACAACAATAGCAAGATGCCAGTATTATTGTAAGCAATACTACGGAATGGAGATAACCAACTGGTAGCTTATGCTCATTCGTACGTCACACCAACACATCGACACCCCGAGCACTGCAATCGAGGCAGCAGTCATCCAGTGAACCAGCAAGCAGGCAAGCAAACAGGTATTAGGTAAAGTTGCCTTGATGATTCTCCTCAAATTCAGTGCAACAACGCGCTTAGTCGAGGCAAACATGTTGAGCTAGCACACTTAGGAGGCGTTTCCATAATTTATGGACCTACGGTGCTCTCGCTCTAACCGACGCCATTTTTTCCAATCACAAGTGACTCGCTTACTTATGTGCCCTGACTAGCTATTTCGCTCTCACTACAGGAAGGCACAAAATGAGTGCACCGTACCCATCCATACATATTAATGCAGATTTTTATATGCCTGCAATGCTGAGAGTGCGGATGGGAAACCCATTGTTGGTGTGCCCTTTCATCTTAACTTCTTTATGGAACAACAATGCGCTCGCTACAATGCGAAAAAATCTAATATTGGTAGGTACGTGAAAGTTTCGTTTCCATTTATCCTCGATTGGATGGGATCTAGTTACTTAGCATTGTAAAATTCATTAATGTAAGTATCACCAAAACTGGAGATATAAGCTACAGTGTTTCAGATTATATTAAGTTGATTTGACAATACTAATAGGTAGGCTGTTTTATTTTATTTTTTTATTATATATCCTATTTTCAGAACCTTAAAGGACTGTCGTTTTCCACTCCTGTTCCTATTAAATTCTTTCTTATGTATGAAAATGCACAAAATAAATATGACGTGAACCACTGATAACGGTACTTTATTTTCCTTTTTCAGTAGATTTCGCTTTTTTTTATATATTTACCGTATTTGGCGCTCAAGCGAGAGACCACTTGTCTAAGCTGGAAAAAAATAAAAACAAACTACGAACGAAGGAATACAAACAACTGAAATTTCTGAATAAATGCACCACTTTCTTAAAAAAGGTTTGCTCATCTTGGGAAGTTTCACTTTTAAGAAAAAAAATTACCTTACAATTTGGAAAAACGTATTGTGCTCTAATGAAAGAAAAATGAAAAAATGTGCCTAAGATGGCCAAAATATACTGTTTCGATCCTAAACATGTCGTTAGAACTCTTAAACATTGAGGAGGTAAAAATATTTATTAGAGATGATCTCAGTAGTTGGTTCGACACGATAATATACTGGAGGAGATGAAGAGGAAATAATTGCCTTAAATTGGTAAACTTGTCAAGAAATGGTTTTAGAACCAAAATAGTAGTGTATTGGAGTGTCCTGACAGAAATCCAATAGAGCATTTGTGGAGATATTAAAAAAAAGAATTGACAGTTTTAAACCACAAAATTAAGACGAGCTTTGGTAAAAATAAAACACGAGTGGTGTGCAATTGATTCCTCAACCTCCGCAAATGTGGTGAAATCGTTGCGGAGCTCTGCAGGCTTCAAAAATACAGTCTGTAACACCAAATATTAATTAAATATATGTTTTAATGAGGTAATTTGAGAAAGTCCAGCGTTTGTTAAGAATAATAATTTAACAATTTTCTTCCGATATGTATGTACATATGTATATAATCTCATTTTTATCAATGTGTCTGTCTGTGACGGTGCACATTGTAGCATTGAATTCATTATTACAATTTTTTTTGCTCTTGCTTTCTCAAATACATTCGCCGAAACAAGTAATCGCTTCTTTGTTGCTATCTCACTCTTTCGCCTACTCCTTAAGGCTATTCGCTTTTCCATTCCTATTCGCACCATTCTCTTAACAACAACACATTACATGGCAACAGCAGCAGAGGCAGCAACAATAGCAGTCGCAAACTTTAAGTATCACGCATATGTTGGGTATGTATGTACATATGTATGTTCGTAGGGATCTACACATTGTATAAATATGCATGCCTTATTGTGGTGTCATTTAAGTAGCGAGCATTATGATTACTGTTGCATAGATGGGCACCTTCTGACTGGCAGCGTGGCTGAAGCACAATGAATCGGTCGGGTGGCTTGTTTTCGACGGACAGGCGAAGTAGTGCAGTGGCGGCATCGCTTGGCACGTCTATGCCATAATTTTTTGTTGGAGACGGGGTTTGGAGGATACGTGTTTTCCGCGATAGCTTTTGGGCGTTGCCATACAGCGATAGCATTCTAAATATACATATTGTACATACATATATACAGTCATGGATAGAGAAATAGCACAAGTCAACACATACACTATCGTAAGATATTTGATAAAACTAAAAAATGATTTGAACAATATATTTTAAATGTGTGCTATTTCTCTGTCCATGACTGTATATACATACATATTTACATTTTCATATGTACAATCTGAACATCGGCCCATATCATGTTGTCAGAGTGTTAACAGATTAGTTGTTTACATGCCACAAGTAAATGAGTTCTCTTAGTTGCAACACAAAAATGAAGACTTTCATAATGCGCACCGACTGACAAAAAAAAAATTTATTGCAAGTCTCATCGGCTTGAGGTATGAAAGGGGATGTTTCTTGGTCAGCCGATAGAACGAATTACATAAATGGATGTTGTACACTCGTGCTGTTACGTGTGTGAATCTGCGATATTCTAAATGCGCTTCAGCGTTAACAAGTTGGCGGCCTCCGTAATCAACGTCTATATTATAACTGTTCTTTTGTCAGAGCAGTCGGCTATTGTGCATATGGATATGTACATAGAGCGTGTGTTTATGTGTGAGTAAATGCGGGCAACATGCCACATGCTACATGATTCTTGTTAAATCTGAACGATGACTTTTTGAGCACTTGGCTAAGCATTTGGGTAATCGCATTACGTGACGCTTTTGGACTGCTTTGCTTACGTTATCTACCAAAATACAGGGTGTGTGTATGTCTATAGCTAAGAATATCGCGTTAAATACATTTGTGTGTGTGAGTTGATACATTTTTACGTACCCATAAATACAGCTATGTGTGTATATATACAACATTATAACTACAATTTAAGGTTTCCATAAATCGCTTAGTTCACCATTCATTGAATTATGTTTATTTTTAATGATGATTTATTATTAAATATTGATTGAGATTTTTTGTAAAGTGTTTATAACGCATAATTCAAATGTTAAGTATTTTATCATCATAGAAATAAAGCGACCGAAAGAGGAGAAAATATTCCGACGTAGCTTTGAAAACTAAATTCTTCGCAAGGTTGCGAAGTCTAAATTTAAATCACTTTAACAGCTTCTGGGTCATTTGGTACAAAGAATCTGAAAGAAGGAACTTGACTTGACACATGCGGATTAAATAACTATTGATTAGTTAATAATTTAATGTTTTTAAATTGTTCCTGCACATTCATTATATATTCAGTCGAATAATTGCGCCGGGCTTCTGCTGCGGAAGATGGGAATCTTTTAAGAAAAGTGAAAAAGTATTTGTAGATGTCCGATATCGGACCCGTTTCCGAAATATAAACAGCCATGTGGGGAGAAAGGGACGTTTGCAAATTTTTTTAAAGTATGTGATTCATAAACTGATGGTTCAATTCGTGTCATACAGTTACGAAGAATAAAATAGAATCAAAGGTTTTGCTTTTAAGCAATGGTATAATTTTTTTGAAATTTTTGTTTTATGTAATAACTTTTCTGCATAATAACAAAGGCAATAATATATACTTTAAAAAAGAGAAAAAAATAGCATTCTCAAGTTTTACAGTTAGCTGTAATTTAAAAAGTGTAAATAGCTTGCCTCGTGCTCAGTGACAAAACAATAGAATCAATAGTTAAATTGTTTCATATATGAACAATATTGAATTTAAAAAGCGTAATAAGTAAGTATATTGACTTAATTAGATCTTTGGAATGAATAATTCTATAAATTATGAATTTATTAAAAAAAAAAATGGGTCGAGCAACACATTGCTCAGAGGAGGAGAAAGATTGGGTCACGCCTAAACCGCGCGTTCTAGCATATGGAATATGTCTCAAAAATAAGTGTTTGATGCCTTAAAATTTCCGAAAAAAATTTAAAAATTATGCAAGATTGATTAAGGCCTCCGCAGCCATTCATTAGGAATTATATGAAACAACTTTTTCACGAACAGTAAGAAGACGACTTAGAGAAAAACTGCTTTAGCACATAGTCCCGAAAGGCGTCAATGTTGAGAAAACATTTCGACATTTTATGATCTGAATGCGAAATTAATATAACAGGAAAACACCGTGGCGGCAATATAATGGTTAAGGATTTTTTCTCTTATTGTGGTGCGGGACCTATTTTTTGGATACAAGAAAACATAGACCGCCGTTTAAGTTTAAGATAAAGTCATACTCCCATATTGTGAATGGAATTTGTCTTGCATTTTGGCAATTACAATAAGAGAGCGACCCGAAACATACTTCGGGTCTTGCAAAAAATGGTTTTCAGATCATGTTGTTAGCGTTATGGCTTGGTCAGAGCAATCAACAGATCTGAATCCAACCAAAAACTTACTTTAATTGTTAAGGAAAACGTTGTAACTGTTAAGCCGAAAAATAAGACACAACTCTGAGAGAAGCTTCAGAGATCTGGTTTTCTGTTCCACAGAACACTTGCCGTAACTAATTAGGTCTAGCACTTGGAAAAATCCTCCGACGTGATGGCCATCACAGCCTTCTTCGATTCAGCTTTTTTTACCCGCAACACGAAGGTAAATCATTTCGCA